CTCATTAATAAGAAGAGTAATAGAGGAAAACCCAGTAGGGAGGATACCTCTTGGAAGACCGCATCTAAGATGGGAGAATTAAGTTAGGAGAGACACTGAAACAGTGGAGCCGGAGTGACATTGGCAGGAAGTAGCAGAGGATAGGGATAGGTGGCAGTATGTTTATCTAGAGGTATGGTCTTGAATGGCCGAAATCAATAAAGAAGAAGAAACAATACAATATATTATAATAAAAACTTATATATTATATTAACTTATTTATTTTACTCAGTTTATTTATTGATAAAATATAATTAAAAAAAAAAAAAAGTTCAAAATACTTAGATAATGATTTTTTTTCTGACAGAATACTATCATATTAAATGAAGATAATCATGGCCTAAGGAAAACTAATTAAATTTTTTCATTTACATTATTCAGTAATGCTTAAAAAAACAAGTAAATAAATAATTTAGTTAAATAATATAATGTATATTTGTGATGAAAACATGCCATTATTTATATAATACACATATATTCTTGAGTAATTGAAAGGCAGCTTTTTCTTTGGCTTCGTTTGCATTTTTAGCCATACCCACACTGCAAACAGGAGGATATATATTATCAATGGACAATACACAATGGAGATTTTCTGCATCTACGATAACAGATTTGTCCATGATTCTGAATGTCAAATTCATTTCACACTCTTCAGCAATATTATTTAACACACCGACAGGATCATCAATATTCAAATCACAATCATTAGAGAGATATTGTTGGAGAAGGGCGTCTAAACCAGCAGTCTCTGGCCATTCATGATTTTTGAAAAGCAAATGATAATTAGTTATGTGTTCATCCATAGGGGCATTTAGTTTTACTTTTACCGATTTAATAACTTCAACTTGCTCCAAAACCTTAATGGAATCATAAGTTTTATTTGTTTCAAGTTCAGGAGCCAACGATTTGTCCATGCATTTTAATTTATTCACCATTTGAACAGCAGCAAAATGCTTTGCTTGTTTTTTGGTCTTGTGTGTTGCTGTTTCAATCATTTTAGCCACTTGACAACTTATAGTAAACAATTTAGCGTGAGCTTGACCTTCTTCTCGTACTAGCTCAAAAACTGGCAATCCAAGTTTATGATTTGTACAGATATCGTTTAATTGACCAACAGCGTTTACTTTAATATTGTCATCAAATGGAGAGACAACATGGTTTTCAAAGTCCCATTGCTTAAATTCTGTTTTCAACAAATGTGGATTATCATTAATCATCAGCTTAAGAATTTTTAAAGCGGCTACATGTTTAGCTTCTTTTTTAGAAGCCCCTTCACCTACAGTAGTATAATCATCTAATGTTAAGCTATATCTGAAAGTAACCTTGCTCTGTGAAATTCCATTATATATGAGGTCATACTGAGGAACAAGTTTATTTTTGGCAGCATATTCTTGTACAATGGAAGCTGGAGTTTTATTTAATGAACTTATGTGTGCAGACTTATTTCGTAAATCAAATCCTACTGGGTTATCCATTTTCTATAGAACAAATAAAGTACACTTGGTTATTTCAGTGCTTAATTTTATAAAATATAAAATACAATCAGGCAAAATTTAAAATAACTGTTGAAATGTTAAAAAAGTGGTATCGGCAAAAGTCAATACAGAAAAATGAACGTTCTTAATTTTTTTTGGTCATATATTATGATAAAAACTAATTTATTTATTCACTTTTCAAAATAGCCACTTTGTAATAGATATTATTCAAAAGATTTTAATGTACTTATTAGACATACTATCTGTATATACTATATTTATTAGTAATAAGCATTTTTTTGAGCATGGGTTTAAATTACTTTATTCAGAGTAGAACTATCTCACTGAATAGAAATCATAATATATATTAGATATAATTTTAAAATTATGAAACAAACTGTTTCTGTAAGTAAATATATACCGAATAGTAATTAAATTAAATTTGTATGAATATACATTTTTAAATATTAGAAATGTTAAAGCCATGTTTATTTTATAATTTCATACAATACAAATAATACAAACAAATACCTATTGATTTATGGGTATTGTAGAGAAATAAATTAATTGTAAATGTATAGAGCAATATTATTATAGCAATTTGTATTATAAAATCATGATTTTGTTTAATGATTAGTAGATAGTTTGGTTATCTAATCAATCATTAAGCATAAACTTAAACAGCAACCATTTAATTCATAATAATTTTAAATCTAATTCTATAAAATAGGTACATACGTTTTTAACAATCGAGAATTAGTATATTTACTATATCATTAATAACTGTATGTTTAGTTAAATAATGTAAGTATATGTTAAACGTATAAAATTTGGTTTTCTAGTCTAATGAATATTTGATTATAATTAAATTTAAATTAGAGTGCAACATTAATAAAAAAGATACACTTATACTTCTATGACGAGAACGTTAAAAATTTGATTTATCCTTAAAAAGTTGTTTATGAATGTTCTACTAACATTCTAGAAATATTAGATAAGAAATTCTAAGGTTTACCAAACTGAGGAAACATTGCACAAATCACTGATTAAAAGAATTAAGATATTTTGACATACAATTAATGAACGATGTGAAGTCAACTAAATAATGCTTAGTTGGCTGATTGAAATTCGATAAAAATAATTAGTTAATATTAGTTAAAAATTATACAGTTGAAAAATTTTTATAATTAGATATTGGCATTATTTGTATTAAATTTATCTTTGGTATTTGGTATGGAAATTATTTTTTGACAATATCAATCAAAATTACGATATTTAGATAGACAGTAAACAGACAAATTAATTGAAAAATAAAAATAATACAATTCAATATAATTTTTCTTCTTCTCTGCTCATTGATGCTAAGATTCGTTCACGATAATTTATTTAATTAGTGATTTCTCTGAATTATATCGCTATGCAGGGGTGCCAGGCGCAGTCTTACCATGCCCCCAATTCAATAGAATTAATATACAATATAAAAATAATACAAAGTTGGGAACCACTGATTTTTCTTATTGATTATTGCTACCGAACATTTTTTTTTATCAACTTTTAAAGATAAATATCACTATGACCGTCGTGGTCACGAATATCCGTATATATTATTATCAGTTATTCTTATCTTCAGTTTACGTAAAATCGTGAAATACAATTTTTAAGGTTATGATAAAAATTGGCATGGTTGTATAAAACCAAAACTGATAACCTTAATAGTTGATTTTTATTAATTATTATTTTGAATTTTTGATTATTTTGTTTATTCTACTCGATGAATTAATAATTTCAAATTTCAAATCAATCCTATAAATGGAAATCCAAATTAAGGTTATCAATATTTTGTGCTTGTGTTTATAACGAATTTAGATTGCTAAACATCAAGTACCATGGATTCATTTGATATTTTTAAAAAGTTGTCTGTTGGTGCGAAATTCAAAAAACCGGAAAAATGTGTTTCTAATCTAGAGGTAATTTGCAAATTAATGTACCTAAAATTTGTATATTTGTTACATTTAATTTGTTTTTATTTTTTCAAAGAATGATAAATGTAGTGCCAAACAAATTAAAATTAAAGCAGTTGGTGACAATGTCCCTAATGCACTTGCCACTTTTGATATGATGAAAAATATGTATTCTTTAAGTCCGTTATTAATGGACAACCTCATGAAGTCTGGTTACACCGTACCAACACCAATTCAAACTCAATCTATACCCATCATGTTACAAGTATTAATTTTTTAAATTGTGTTAATGTGGCACATATTCATTTTTTCATTTGGTAGAAAAGGCAAATATTTGCTTGTGCCCCAACTGGTTCTGGAAAAACAGCTGCATTCTTGGTACCTATCATTCATCATTTAAGTAAGCCAATGAACAAAGGGTTTAGAGCTTTGATTGTAAGTCCCACGAGAGAGTTAGCAAAACAGACATTAAGGTAAGTGTAAAAATAAAAACTGTATTATGATTCGTTTCTGATTATTATTATTTTGATTTTAGAGAATGTACAAGGTTATGCGAAGGAATTGGACTACGACCACATACATTTACTAAAATCAATAAAGATAAAGAAAAATTTAATCCCAAATTAGCTCAGAAGTTTGGTAAATATTTGAATATGTAAATAAATAATGTTTTTCTTAAATGTATATTTATATATTTAAATGTTTTACTGTTTCAAATTTTAGATATATTAATAGCAACACCTAATAGACTAGTATTTCTACTGGAACAAGAGCCACCAGCTGTAGAATTAACTAAGTAATATTTATTTCGTACAAAAATTTAACCTTTTTATTTTAGAGTTAAGTGAATAATGTATTTATAACTGTTGACATTTTTAATTTATAGTATTGAGTGGTTAGTAATAGACGAATCAGACAAATTGTTTGAAACTGGTATTCGAGGGTTCAGAGACCAATTGGCAATCATTTATAAGGCGTGTGGCCCAAATACTAAACGGGCTATGTTTAGTGCCACATATACAGTAGAGGTAGCGAAATGGTCAAAGAAAAATCTTGACGGTCTTATAGCTGTAACAGTTGGTAATAGGCAAGTATTAAAATAATAATATATTAAGGAAGTTGATATTAAATAAAAAATTACAATATTTAACAGAATATTCAAGAACTCTATTCCAACATCTAGTTATGTTATATATTAACTTTTATTGTTTTATTTCAATTATCAGAAACACTGCAGTCACAACAATTGAACAAGATTTAGTGTTTGTTGGAAATGAAGAGGGAAAATTAATTGCAATGAGAGATTTAGTGAAAAAAGTTTGCTTTTTTTTTTTAAAAAATGTATTAACATGCAATTTATATTTTATGATATTTAAATTTTATATTTCAGGGATTGTCTCCTCCTGTTTTAATATTTTTACAATCTAAAGAGCGTGCAAAAGAGCTCTTTAGTGAACTCATTTATGATGGCATTAATGTAGATGTCATTCATGCAGACAGAACTCAACAACAGGTATTATATACAATTTTTTTTTTTTTTTTAGTATTATTTTTATAAGAAATACACAATCTTTACCTAAAAAGGTATAATTAGTATATGTGATACAGGTTAGTAATAGCATATACAATTAAATCATAATTATACAATGATTAATATAAAACAATTAAATTTTAGAGAGATAATACGGTGAAAGCTTTCCGGGAAGGAAAAATATGGGTATTAATTTGTACAGAGCTCATGGGTCGAGGTATTGACTTCAAAGGTGTTAATTTGGTAGTAAATTATGACTTTCCATCTTCAGCCATCTCCTACATTCATCGGATTGGTAGGACAGGACGAGCGGGACGACCCGGAAAGGCTGTTACATTTTTCACAAATGATGATAAACCTATGCTAAGAAGGTAATTGTTTTATTTTTATGTTATAAAATGTATTGAATAAAATAAAATAAATATTTTAATACAGCATTGCTACGGTTATGAAGGATTCAGGATGTCCAGTACCAAACTATATGTTAGAAATGAAAAAATTGCATAAGAATACTAGAAGAAAAATGGAAAAACAATCTATTGCTAGAGATGAAATCCGAGCAAAGCCACATAGATATAAGCGGTTAGTTACTTTTAGTATTAAACATAATTGGTAGTATTTTATTTGGTTTATAAAAAGCCAATTTTTAGAGTTTACAACAAATATTGGTTGGTATATTATTCAATGTATTAACATGTTCTATATTCTCATATACATGTAATATCTCTTAATTTGAGTAAAATTAAATAAAACTTTGAGAGTATTTCATAAATTATATCATACTATATGAGATGTAACGAAATAAAGCAAAATGCTAGGTTATCATTGATTGATAAACATTATAAATTATATAAAAATTAATGAAACTTGATTGTCGAGATTTTAATTGATAGTATTTGACTAGCATTTGTGTAATTCAATTGCTATAGATTCGCCTACAGGTGATAGCGAAATATCCCTATATAATTGGATTATCTATTTATTGTATAACCAATAGTAAACAAATTATAATGCAACAAAAAATAATAATATTATGATTATTTTTGTAGACCTAATATTACTGATAAAACACACTCAACGACAACACAATCAAAAAGTGTATCAAATGAAGACCAAGAAAAAAGTGCAAAATTAAAAGTAAAAAAAAATTTAGTTTCAATCCAACCCAAAAAAGATTTGGTGTCAAATAATTTAATTCAGTCGGTGCAGCAAGAAAAAAAAAGAAAACTTAATGGTGAAAAAGATTCAAAAATTAAAAAAAAAATTAAAAAGAAATGAGTATAATATTCTTTTTAAATATAGCGAGGTTTTTATATTTTTCTTTTATTACCATAATTATTATTATTATCATCTATATTGATAAACAATAATTTTTGGGAATTCCAATATTTGGGTCATTAATAATCACTATTGTAAGATATTAATTATTAATTGAATCATTAAAATGAATTGTTTCTGTATGCTTTTTTTTTTAGTTACCCAATTACTAATAAATATTACTCATTAAATTGTTAAGATGGTCCATCACTAATATTGGTGTGTGGATCGGTTATGGGCCCAAATTTATTTATGAGAACACTTAAATTTTATAAAATAAAATAGTCTATGATCATTAATAATTGTAAAAAAAGATGTTGATCACTCCTCCCTCCCTTGTGGTTTTTCTTCACCACTATATATTTTTACCTATAATTTAATACTTAATAAATTGTTGGCCATATGGATTTGAAATTCGCCCTCCTGGAACTGAGATATATCTGTCACTGTCCTAGGCCCATAATATAACGGATTTTACTGGAACTTTCTATTTAATGATTGTTATTTGAAGAGGAAAAAAAATTAATTTTATAGCACAAAATATATAAAATTAATACCATTATCAACAATTTTATATTATTTTAGGATAATAATTAATAATTTCTATTTATCTTTTTCCTCAATAGATTTAATGAATGGTACACAAAACAGACATTAAACTGAATTAAATAAATAACTTTTTCCTTAATATGGGTAAGATTAGGTTAGGTTATTGTTTTTATCACTTTATGATATAGACTCTCCGTAGACATATTAATCTTACATAGGAATAAGTTGATACTTCAAATCAATGGGTTGAAGTATTTTTACATTTTTACAGAAAATTAAATTCTTTATGAGTTAATGTAAAATTTAATACAATATATTTTATGCCCACCTGTGTCAATTACATCAACAGAGACGGTATTTAGCTAAATTAATAAAATAAGGTCAAAAGAAAAATCTCTGTTGAAAATAAAAACTCTAAAAGCTATTTTGGTTGTCAAGATAAATTAAGACATGAAATCTTCAGAATTATAGTTTTTTTTATTAAAAAAAAATCTTTGTTGCTCAAATCTACTATATCAAATGATAAATATTAGTAATTGTTTTTTTGTTTTTTTTTTTTTTTTGTACAGAAAATTAGACTATTCTTTAAAATAATAAATGCTATTATAATTTATATATAACTATAAAATTATGTTTTATTTTTTATATTATCTAATTTTAGACTGATGAAACAGGTGTACCCAAAACTAATTATTAAGAGAGGTTAATCCTTCCCACAAATACTGAGGAGGGATTCCTCTTACTCCAGTTCCTTTTAAATACTTGGCCCTTTTTAAGAATTTTGATTGGGTCACTTTAGGTAAAATAGAAGTTTTTTTTTTAAATATCTAACCCCATTCCACAGTTTATACTTGCTCAGCAAGGCCTAAAATAATGTGTCTTAAAACCAAAAGTCTACAGAATAAAATGCAAAGTGTGAAGCTCGAAATTCCTGTGTGTTGTACAATAATGTGTTTTTATAAGTATGCGCTAAAAGTCCCAGGGTGCTAAAAATGTAAATTTATTTCTAACAGTTAGATCCTGCGTTTTCTGATTTTGAAAAGTGGCCTTTGAGTTTTAACTGGTAACTAATTGTAATACGTGTTATGGATTATCTTTGCGTTTAATACATTATATTTTAAGTATAAAATCAGGCACTGGTATACAGTGGCGTAGAATTTAATTTTTATTGTAGGGTTAACAAAATGTATAAGATACCCACCCACAGTCGCAGGCGTGGCTTGAAGGGGGGGGGGGAGCCATGACCCCTGGGTCGAGATTTGATAAAAACTCTTATTTTCTAATAGAACAATGTAGCTTTGCCTCTTTGCTTGCCCCTCTCCACACACAAAATATAGTTCCCTGGAAACATCTGCCCAGTTAAAAAGTAATATGTAGAAGTAGGTTTCTTTACTCCTGCATTACTTTTTTAATTAGCTAAAGTTTAAGAGAGATAAATTATAAGTTCCTAGATAAAATGTAATAAATGCTTTAAAAATTATAATTTATGTAACAAAGAATTAGTATTTAGAAATTAAGAATTTATTACTTTACAAAAAGAATAAAACATAAAAAGACGTCCTAGGATAATGGGTATGGGTGCCACTTTTATAGGTAATTTAATGTACACCTGTAAGCAACGATAAACCATTGTTCTGAGCGGAGTTCAGTTGATAGTGATGTTTTGTCAACATTGTAAAATAATTATTGTAAAATATTCTATTACCCCCTACGGGGTACGTTGGTAGAATTATGGCGGCTGTGTATTAGTATACTGCCGTTTGGGCGTTATGTTACAGATATAGTACTGGCATTAGCACCTGTCTTAGAACCAATATTTTCATACTACTGATTTCTTTTCAGAAAAAATGCTACATTTGGAAATCAGAGTAAAATTTCTGGTAGAAAAGTTGTTCAGAGAAAAAAAAAATGTCTAATGGGAGGCTGATACAGGGTTCTTTGTAATTTTGTTACGTATGTCTAATTATTTTTGTTGATTTATAGATCAACTTGTTGATACGAATAACTAAATGTTTAATTTTTGTTCTTCAGGAACGATTTTCAAAGGTTATTTTATTTCGTTTTATACATTTTTAATATCTAGGTAGTAGGTACTTATCATCATTATACTTTCCTTTGGTGTATTTTATGTTGTAAACTTATGGTTTGGAATTTCTGTGTACAATTGCAGAAATCCTTCAATATTATTATGTACATAAATATACATATTAAAATGTGCCAGTTATTTTACTGTAATTTTACACTTACGTTTATTATTTCCACGGCGTTTGTGTATACCTATGACTAAACAGTAATAATGTCGAATTATCGAACAAACCGACGAAAAAATAAAAACGTTTTAATAAACACATACCTACCGACCTACCAACAGGGCCATCTAAATTTTATGTGACAAAAGTATATATATTATAATAAATGTTTATATAATTTCTTTATGTAATGTCCATCGTTTTAGTACCTAACACAATTTCAATGACCCTGTGTTTTGTATACATTTCTTTAAATTAGAATCAACGGGATACGATTTTATTAATGACAATCGTAATAAAACAATCACGAAATAAGAGCACGATTTTTTATTATTATTATTATTTTTTTGTTAATATAGAACGGAATATAATAATGATATGAAAGTAAAGTAATAAAAGAACGAAATTATATTTACATTTGTATATAGGTACGCGATGTATCCGCGTTCAAAATAATATTATTTTTTGCATTATATTTATAAGTAGGTACGCAATTTCTTACGGTTGAAGATGTTACCTAGGCAGATAAGTATCTATACATACATATTATATAGATAATGAAAATTAAATTTCATAAAAAAAAAAAAAAAATAACTTCCTATTCATTTTTAAAAAGAAAGTAGGCGGGTACATATAATTCAAACATATATATTTATAATACATAATAATATATAGAATATGTATAGAGAGTATAGGTAGTTAAAAATTGAAAAAAGATATATAAATTTAGGTATTTGTAGACATAGTTAATAATTTTAGGTAGAAATATCTACTCCATTAAAATAAGACGGCAAATGTATAATGAAAGGTTAGAAAGAAGAGGAACCTAAGAATAAGTAGTTACGTTTTCGACGTGGAAGTAAAAGGTTAAAATGAGAAATTATGTAGCTCAAATCCTGCAGATTAGTATTCAGGATTTAATTTTAAAAATGCCACACATAAATCGAACCGTGGTTAGACCATTACTGTTGTAATTGTACGGTAATGGTTAGATAGAAAATAATAACGAGTATAGGATAATTTAGTTGAGATCGTAAATTAATGCGTTGCAAACGAAAATCAATTCTAAGTGGAGTTTAGTTAGACATTTGTTGATGAATTTTAATTGAAAATTGTATTAATTTGTAACTACGAAATAAAATACGATAAATAATTGCCCGTATTTTTACATCTTAAATTGTTAAGAATTTGTATGGAACTAAAAATGTTTTATTCATGTAAATTGAAAATTTTGATCGTATTGTTGACATCATGTGATAACTGAATTGCGACCGCAAGAATAATTCTTGTACTATTTCTATATGTTTGATGATGAACTCGTTAATATTTTCCATCGATTATCAATTATCGATGCCTTATTATATGTTGGTAAATATCACCTTACAATTTATTGTTGGAAGTTTATTTTGTTCATGTAGTTCATGTCAAAAATGTTCGAATTGATATTTATATTAAAATGCTAAGCTCAAATATAACAAACAAATGGAGAAAGGATGTAGAAAACGAAGATTTTATTAAAAATATTATAACTTAGTTTGAAACAAAAATATATCACGTTTTGAGTTCGTTCAAAAATTGGCGTGTAAAAATGTACTATCGTTTTATAAAATAAAAATAATAATAATTGACATGGTATCTGCATATATCAATATTCACAAAGGTTGGACATGATATTATTTTTAATTCATTTTTAATAAAATATACATTTTAGATTAATAAATAATTTATAATACCAAATATATAATATATTTTTAATAACATCATTTATATAAACGACAGTCCTCATGACCTCATCAGTCTGTAAAAGTGGAAAGGAAAATATGTATATATTAATTATTAACGTGGACGCAACTCGGATGTCGTGATAAAATCGTGGATGCAACTCTGACAAAATATCATTTATGGACGCAATTCGAATTAACCGATAAAAACGCCTAGGCATGTCAAATTGAAAAAAAAAATTGTAAATAATGTATAGGCATTTCGAAAAATTGAAATATAAAATCGACTCCCAAATATATAGTCAAAAAATAAATATATTAATAAATAAATGATGAAATATTGTGCAAATAGAAAATCATACTATCAAGTACACGTGTACCATTTATCATATGAACCATACATAACTAATTATTTTTTTATATACTAATAATATAGGTATCAATTTCCAGTTAATTTAAAAATAACTACCTATAGGTAGTGGTACCCAGTTATTAAAAATAATGATAGTAATAACCAGTGATAAATAAAGATAAAAAAAAAAACTTAAAACATACCTTCTAGACAGTAAAGTTATAATATAGGTATATAATTTTTAACACGAACGTTATTTTTGTCTGTGAAACTTAGAATAATATACCTAATACTATAGTTGTGTCCAGACATTGCTAGCAAAGGGGCATTATATAAATAATATAATATAATTGAACCTTTTATTTTGATTATTAGTTAGTTTAATTAATATTAGTGATGAAATTATTTTAATTGTACACATCAGTAATTTAATTACTAATTTATTATAATAATTGAAATTTCATATTTTTTGGAAGAAAAATTTAACCACCAGGAGAAGGTAGCTACCTGCCTTCCCTGCCCCCCTGTGCACATGCCTATGCCTAACACCTATATTTAAGTTAAAATTGTAGAAAATAATTTTTTGTTCAATATATAATAGGTAATTATGACGTAGAAATTACTTATAATAATGAACCACATAGTCGTATCGTATCCATAGGCGCAATTTGGGTTAAATTTATGGGGGTGGTAGATTTATGTTGGCCAAAGAGACCCGTGGGGGGCTTTGCCACCACACCCGCTTCACACAACACCTTGGCGATGATGTGGCCTAAAAATTGATAAGCTTTCTATCGCGAGAAAAAATTTGGGGGTGCGTAGGTTAAGTTAATCAGCCCCCTCCCAAATTTCGCCAATGATCGTGTTTGCATCTTTAGGATGTATATCATATATGTATATGTGTATATATATATACATATGTATACATATGTATATATATGTATATATGTATACATATGTATATATATATATATATATGATATATATGTATGTATGTATAGTGTATATAATATTTTTATTTACATTTCAAACATCATAATTAAAGACCGGATCTAATTGTATTTAAAACATACAAAATTGCATATTATGTTCATTGTACTATAAAAATGTAAAAGTTATACGAAAAAAATTAGATAAATGTTATTTTTTTTAATTAAAATTGATAATTAGATTGTTTCTAAATTATTTTCATTAAAATTAAA